TGCAAGAAACATAAACAAAAATTAAAAACATGGCCTCAAATCACAAAAAGCTGTCCATGCTTATGCTATACTCTATACTTGAACCCCTTCCTTCCCTGCCTGAAAAACAGCTATTATTTGCTTGGGAAGGCAAATAAACTTGGCTGATAAATCCATTTTTTGCCTTCCTATTCACACAGATATATATATATATACACTTACTGAGCATCACCAAAAGCTTTCAGAATTTCTCGGTCTAGATAGTTGTTTGTGATGCTACATTCAGGTTCCTGCTTTGTTTGTGGAAATTGGGATCCAATCTTGTGGTATTCAAGTAAAGAGTCAAGCAATGGAAGATCTATTAGCTGCAGGAGACGGGCAATTGTTTGCTCTCCCCAGACTTCATTAATGACTAGGAAAGATGAAGGGCACAAACGAAATAGTGAGATTGTTAACAAACATTATATAAAGATCAACAAATGTAATCCAAAATTGCAGTACTTATGTCTTTGCTTAAGGGCACTGACTATTCTGCTGCAGAGAACATTAAAATAATTTATTCCTGCTGCTTTATTGTCAACCACAAGAGTACTCCAGAATAAATAAAAAAGTAGATAACTAATAGAGATGTATGCAGCAAACAGCAAGGACTTTGATGTATCCAAAATGCTTTACATTTTTTCCTGTTGAAATTGCAAGCAATCTTTACTATATGGGAAAACCAATCATGTAAATCATGCTAATAAGGATGCATAAAAGAAAGAAAGCCTTGTTAACATTTTTCCAGCTAGAACAATGACACCCTTAGCTTGAAGTACTAAACAAAGAACTTGTTTGGGGTTTTCTACATTTTTTCGGAGCAATTTGCAAAGCCAGACACAAAAAAACGATAGAACTAGCTACTAAGTTAGTATCAGATTTTGTTCTTGTTCAAGAAGCAGATTGAAAGAACATGGCAGCAACATGTTACAATCGTCTTGTTTAAACCAGCTATGCCTTGGGAAGAATGGACTATTTGTATTGCTGATTTCTAAGTGGTTTGGTAACTGTGCCACAAGTCAGGCCCAAAGTATGAGACAGGGCCACAGTAGTAAGTTTCCTGTTCCTTCAAAAACTTGTATCTCTAGTTTTAAAAATTGAAAGAGGGGAGGCAGCAGCAAGTGCTGGAGAATGGAAATCTTTGGTTTTATTGTTGAGGCATTGAGAGAGTGAAATCACCCTCCCTCCCCCATCTCTGGCATGAACATACCTATTTTATGCACCCTCTGGTCTGAATTGTTTCCAGATTAGGTCAAGAGCTGCAGGTTGTTCCCCAGTGATCTAGGCTGTCATTATTGTCAGGCACCACCTGCTTTTTTTCTAATGTGTTATAGACTCATACTCCCTAAGATAGCCATGGTGTAAGGCCATACCATAGGTTAGACATCTGATTTATCATCTTTGTGAGAAAATTAGCAGCTATGAAGAATTCAGACAAATACCCCACACATGTTCTTTTGCTTGGAACTCTGCATTTTATAATGGACATGATGGAAGGGAGATTAATTTACTGGTTGCCTCTGGTTTAAGAAATAGAAAAGCTTTGCTGGAGATAGTTTGATGTCTATTCCCTTTACCTTGATGAGATAAATGTGAGGATGGATTTACTTGAGGAGAATTAACAGGTTTTAGACTCAAGTTTTCCAAGAGATCCTCCAAACTTTCTGACCTCACTGATGGTGTACCAAGTAATGCTTTTTTCTCCTGCCTGTAGTTAAAAAAAAAAAAAAAAAAAGGAATGGATGATCCAAATATCAGTACTGATAACAATAGTTAGGTCATGTCTCTGTACACAAATGCTGACCTTACCAGAAATCCAATGAATATAGATATACTTCCCTTAAAAAAAAATCATAAAATATTTTGTGTACAATTGCATAATTAATCTACATTAAATTACTACATGCATTGTTCTATTAAACAAGCAATTCTACGTAAGTTTACTTATATTTAGGAAGCCTCAGAATTCTTTCATACTGTTGAGCTAGAAGCTACCTGGTTTGTTAGATTTTGGTTAGCAAATCATATGAAGTTAGCAATAGTGGTATAACATGGCTTACTGTAATTGTAACCTTAATAGCCTGGTCACTGTAATCAATATAACCACGTATTTAAGCAAATAATGGCTTAATATAGTGGTATGTGAAGCCTGTCACTGAATTCAGTACGGCTAGAAGTTACAATAAATGGATATAGGATTGTCACCTGAATCACATATCCAATTAGCGTTTAACGATAAAGCAAAACAGAGCATGTTCAACATAATCTGCAAGGGTTGTGGCACATTACAGTACAGTCAAAAGTTCTTTCTAGTTTATGAACACTGGGACAGCATTTTAGTTAAATCTCAAATGCAAGAAACATAAACAAAACCCTAAATCATATAGATAAATCTCATGAAGATTACTCCTTAATGTTCATGTACCTCCCTATTAAAGACATCAATTTTAAAAATCTACTTTTATTCCACGTAAGAATACTGTACACTGAAACAGCTCGCCAATTAATCATAATAATTATTCCATGTGACTGAATCTTAAGCATGTGATCTCAAGTATATCACTTTCCCATTAGCTAGGATAATACAAACTGAATGCACATGTATTCATTAGATTTAAATCCTGCCTTTTGTTATCACAGCTCAACATGGCACACATAGTGGTTACTCCTCCTATTTTTTCTCCACCACAACCACCCTGTGGGTAGACTGGGCTGAAACAGATTGACTGGTCCAAAGTCATCCAGTGAGCTTCTGTGCCTGAGGGTGGACTAGAAGCTAGGTCAGTAATATATGGATTTATACTGTGGAAATTAGTCTCATTTATCCCCAGTCAAAATCAAAGAGAAAAATTATCCCTTCAGTTGGGACTAGTATGCAACTTACATTATTTCTTTATGAATCTTTGAAAAGTAATTATCTAGTTATTTTACCACTGCAGTCACCCATAAGCTTCAGTTTAGATATAGATTGATCTAAAATTGCATTACTGGATTGCAGTTAATCTTTAGTCATACTTTTTAATTAATATGGCAAACAAAAAGGAAATACATTTAACAACATGCAGACAAAAGGCAATATTTGTGCTAGAGATCAGTACAAAAGAAACATTATGCAGCTTATAGTTGTGATCTAGTTAGTCTTAGTGACATTAGCTTCTCCATGTACTGAGGAATGCAGCACGGTCAGTAATTAAAACAACCAAGAGTGGCTGCCTAAACTTAGATAACTGGAAAAGTTTTTCAGCAAACTGCTGATGAAATAGCAATTAAATGAGTTGGACAGAAGATTCCTTTTTATTAATAACATGAAGCCCATACAACATTCTAGGTGATTCTAATTCAGAGCAGTAGGCAGCCAACAATGCCCCTTTTCAAAATACTTAATTTCACCACCACAACCCCCATGTTCCATGTTCTTTCTTTTAATATTTAGCATTCCACTGCCACCAAGCATGGAGGGGCATTTACAATAGTTTTTATTCATAAATGGTGTCATTCAGATCATCTAACAAATTAATTCTCCAAGGGTAAATGGCTAATAGATTCTAGAATTATTGCCAACATTTATATTATGCAAAATAGCTTGCAAGCTTCCTCACTTTTAAGCATCCTGTCTCTCACATAAGGAGTTACTTATTTTCAATATACAGATGGGCAGTTGAAGCTAAAAACAGCAATTTGACCAAAGCTGCTAAATGGTTGTGGAGGAGTTCATTTAACAATACAAGATCCAAGTCCAGTACCACCTGCCAATACTCATAAATTAGCTTGCTAATGTTAAATTGCAATCTAACTGGTTTACTTTTGCTAAGTCAGGTAGCTTTGTGGCTATGTTATTAACATTCAGTGCCGCTGAAGTCAGATTAAGATATTCCTTGGAAACACTTTTATGGGTGTCTCTCCTTTCTGAAGTCAGATTAGTGGCACCAAATGTATGGCCTTTTTTTTTTTTTTGGGTGGCTCTCCAGCTGTGAAACACTCTCTCCAGAAATACTTCAGTGGTCCTTACATTGTTAGTTTCACATGGTAACATGATTCAGTTCTTTAATACTTTAATAAGCCCCTATCTAGGACTCTCTGGATGTTCTACAAAACAGCTCTTTTAATCCCAACATGCTCACTTTGCCATAGGATTTATACTCCCATACAACTAAGAGGGCATAGAAGTTGGGAAGATGCAGCTAGCCCAACCAGAAAAATATAACTTCCTCTCTAGTTTTTCAACACTTTATCTTGAGCATCCACACACAGACCTTTGCTGTATAAAATGACCATCCTGTCTTCCACAGAGGCTCTTCACTTGATTCACTGTATTTGAGAACCTGTAGAGGCTGCAACTGCTATCCTCAAACACGGATCGTTTGTCTTTTCCAAAGACTTTAGTTGAAACAGCCTCAAACACTTTGTAGTCCATCAGCGCTTGGCATACTCGTACAACTTTAATCCGGTTAATATCCGTGTCACCAAAGTATTTGTTTTGGAGAAGATGGGCGTAGACAACATCCACCGCATCAGAGCCAATAAAACAGTCATTGTAACATTTTAGATTCTGACGTCGCTTTTTCACTTCAACTTGGGTCTGAAGTGCGTGGATAACACTGCTCCAAACATAAGTAGCTCCAAATGGTCTCTGTGCCAAGCTGAAGCCTTATGAAGCAATACAGAAGATGCATTAGCAGATGCATTTTCATTCTTGAAACTACAATTAATGTGCTGCACATTTTAAAGAATCCTTTCCAAAAGGGGATATGATTTACCAAGGAAATTCTACATTTGCTTCTGAAGCTTTTCTCTCTCGCTTGAGGTGGCATTAGCTAAAACCAACTTATTTTGGTGCTATTGGAGCACAAGAAATTTTGTTTGGCAGGCTGAAGCCCACACTCTAGAAATGGGCTGGGCTATGGACTATTCTGAGATGGCTTAGGTGCTTTAAGAGATGAAATTGATACCTGGAGCACCTGCCAATACTAATTTTGGCTCTTAAAATTTCCCAGTGACTCCATGCCAATGGAACAATGGGCACAAAATGCCCCTATCCATGTAGGTTGTGCAAACCACCAAAAAAAAAATAAATGCTGGTGATTTGCTTGTGACTCCCAGCACCAAACCTTTTGTACTCTCATTCTAGTGAATAGCACTGGATTATAGTAGTATTCCTTTCTCCTTCTAGATGTTCCAGCACAAAGTTGTAGTCCAATACTTCTGGAAGCAACAAGTTGGCAAAGTCATTAATAAATATATTCCCCCTTTCTCAGGAATGGTGCCATTTAATTTTAACCAAGTAGATGCAACTACTGTATTTGGCTGATTGTTTACATGGCATTAAAGTAAAACTTCCAAATGATGCTTTGAAAAACTTCATCAGAAGGTGGACCAATTCAACTGTAAAGTACATGCTGTTGTATGTAAAGGATTCTATAATCAAAGCCCACAATGGCCAACTAAAAAAAAAAAAAGAGTAGCTGCTAGCTGGATGGGGAGAAGACAATTCTCTAATGCTGTAGCAATGAGGCACTTGCCACCTTCTAGAGATTGCTACACTTCAGCTTCCTGTACCCCTTATCCATGTCATGCTGGCTGGGACTACTAGGAATTTCTATGGCTACCTCACCTCTGCAGTACTCAAATACACAGATACCTGTTTGGGGAAGGCTAGTATCAGTTTCCCATAATCCCCAGTCAACATGAGTTATTGAACCAATGTCCAACAATCTTGAAGAAACCATGCTGGAGATATTGACAGACCAGTATGATGATTCAGTAAAAACAAGCTACATATTGTCAGTGGTGATTCTTTTGTTAAAAAGCAAGCAAAAAAACTACTGTATGGTGGAAAATTGAGTAAAAAGCAGTACATAAGGATATAACAGATAAGATAACTCAGTGCCATATAGGGATGTTGTTTTGATCTAAGACCTTTGAAAACAAAAACAGGTTCTATTTAAGATTAAAACTGTTGTAACAAAAATATTTCTTCCAAAAATATTTATTACACTTATTACTCATTGTGCCTTATAATTAGCAATCATCCACATAAGACATTATTAAAACAAATTCCTCTGACGTGTGTATGTAGTACATATATCTAATTCAGTTGTTAATAAAACAGTCAGCTTGTAATAATTGTGAATAGGCTACTACTGTAAGAGCTCCTGAGAAATATTCTATTCATTTGACATATTGGCAGGGGGTTCTGGGGTGGCTCTAGGGTAAGGCTGAGTAGATACCAGCCTAGGGACACCTAACTTGAAAAGACTTCCAAAAAACACACTAAAAAAAAAAAGCTAAAAGGAGTAACAGCAAACCCTTTTCACGTGCTCGGGGATTAAATATAATTTTGCAGAATTGTTGCCATATTACAATGGGTGCTAACATAATTACTGTGTAAATAAGGTGAAAATGTCCAAGAAAAATATTGTCCAGGGCTGAAAATCATGAGTGTAAAGCTAGAAAACTTGAAGAAAAAAAAGAAACAAGAGGACACCTTTTTGAAATTCCTAATAAAATTGGAGGATGAGCCAAACCATAGGGGGCATCAGAATATGACTTTGCCCAGGGTCCAGAATGTCTAAAGGTGGCCCTGGGGAGGTGTGAAACCTCACCTTGGAACCTCTAAATAGCCCCTTTCAAGAACATGCTTATCAGATCCATCACAGTAATATATCTAAAGGCATTCTGCTTAAACAAATGAAACTAGATTTTGTGTGTATGTGGCTTGGTTTGCCGATTGCTCAAAACTTAACCCTGAACTGCTAATGAAGCCACAAAAAGTGGGTTCACAGAGATAAGCCCCAAAAGACAGACTGCAAAAACTATTTTGACTGAGGGCACTATGTGAATGTGGCCTATAGCAACTGGAAAGAAAAGAGAAGAAACAAAGCATTGTTGCTAAAATTGGTATAACTACATATGTTGGTTAGCAACATTTCAGTTAAGAGAGTTTCCTAGTTTGCTACCTACCCCCAAAGTGGGAAGACAATATTTCCTCTCCCTAAATCGGGTACAAAAGCAGAACTTCCTAAAAGGATCCTAAAGCAAAGATAGAGCTTTTCAAGCTCAACATAAACCATTATTTATTGATGTCTTTTATAAAGAGGCGGTAAACTAACACCACTAGCAGCCATTCTTAACTTTTTATGAGAAAGGGGGAAACTCACAAGCCAGGGAGCCACTTCTGTTAAGGCAGAAAGGTCGGGCATGAAGCACAAGAGAATCTTCGTTTACAAAACGGCTTTTTCTCCTTGAATAATACAGTGGAGAGAAACCTTTGAAGCAAAGTCAATAAAGGGAAGTCTTGCACAAAGATAGCAGGTCTGGGAAGTAGGTTAGAGGGAGTCCGCCTATGCACACACCCTCCCCAGCCGGCACAGGCCCGGGGCAATCGCTGCATATTACTACCACCTCGCCCAAAGCAGCGGAGCGGATGGGGAAGTGGCGAGGCCTTCCCCCCAAATCCGACTCCACGCCACCCGGAGTAGAGAGAGGGCCAGCCTTTCCTTCCTCCGAGGCAAAGGCGAACTCCCATCAGATCAGAGGGGCGCAAGGAAGCTGCAGAGGTAACAAGGTAAGAGCGCGTCAGCGTAACAAACCATTCAGTCCTGTTCGGGGCAAAGAACCCGAAGTCCCCCCCCCCCAGGAAGGGCGCGTGAGGGGCGAGGACGGAGAGCCGCACCACCGGGACCGGGGGACCCATCTCTTCAGAGCAGCAGCCCAGGGAAGCGTATTAGCGCACAGACCCGACGTGAAGTTGTCAACCGTCCTTGTTTAGCTCTGAGAAGACAGCGCGGGAGCAAAACGAGGGAGCTCTTCCTTCCCTGCAGCACCACCACCGCCACCTTTAAAAAATCCGTCCCGACCGGTCGAGTTTCCTTACTCCTTTCTATAGACATCATGACACGCTGGCCGGCTGCTTACCCTTTTCTGTAAACGAAGCCTTAGCTCCCCTGCCCTCCCCCTGGAATGTACCCCGGGAGTCCACCGTTACCTGGGGGTTTATTGGCGGGACTATACACAGCGGCGAGATTCAAAGCTGCCGCCTTCTCCTTCACCGTGGCCATCAGCGCAGCTGCTTTCGGCAAACGCGTCTCGGCGAGTGATGCAAACGATCGCTGCCTCCTAATGGTCTCTCCGCAGGGGTAAGTGGGCGGTCCCTTATATGTGGAGTCCATTGCTATTGGTCCAAAGTGGCTCTATGAGCGGCGCTTGTTGTGCGCTTCCATTCTAAATAGAGATCACCGGAGGAGAGGTGAACGTCTGCTCCTAGATTTGGAAGCTGGGCTGTAGCGAGCGACTCTTACCACCTGCTGCAAAGGCTGATTGCTCGGGTGATTTTCTCTAACTATTTTGCTGCAATAGAATAATGGGTAATCTTTGCCTTGCCGAGGGTGATCGAATGTGAAGAAGAGATGATTACTGTTCATATCCAGTTATGGAAAGAGAACTTCAGAAAGTTCTCCTCGCTGTGTGAAAAGATGAGTGGTTTCTGATAGGAAATTCTTTTTCCGTCCAGTAGAAATCCTGCCCTGTATTACTGGTCCTAAAATCCTAGATAGAAAGAGAAGGATGGTGAGCGGGTTGGGCAGGTAAGAATCGTCTGCAAGTAGTAAAAGGGCCTGACTCTTTCCAACAGAGTGCATATAGGTGTCTACTTGTGCCCTAGCCCAGATAAGTGTGATTAAAAATGCAGCTTTACACATGTATAATCAGATATCAGAAGTAAGCCTTATTAAGTCCAACATATAACAGCCAGTATCCCTCACCATTGGCCAGTAACTGCTGGAGGCGGGGATCCAGACCTACTGCTTGGAGCAAACTACTGAGATAATGATGCACAGTGCAATCTCCACTTATGTGTAAAAAGTCTCAAGAACTGGCATTCAGCAAAAAGTTCAGATCAATAAAGCTATAATTATGGAGCCATTTATTTTCAAGGAGCAGCTGAAAAAAGCTTACGCTGCCATGTAATATGGGTGTAATTCTAACATTCAGGATTCTCATATTAAATGTATTGGTGTATAGCAGCAGCATTTATCATACATAGTACTTGGCTCATTGAGAGACAAATTACAAAATGACCCAACAACATAATTGTTCAGTGTGTCAGAATGTGAAGAACTAGGCCAGCACAGAGAGAACAGAATATGTGTAAACATTGCATTCCTTGTTTTATTTCACTAGATACAAAGCAGATGCACAAGTCTAGGCATAATTTATCAGAAATAGCTCCCATTAATGGAACTTGTGTTACTCATGACTAAGTATTATTGATTCCAATGGGTTTATTCTGTGCATGAATGAATCTAGATCCAATTCATTGGGGATTACTCTGAGGTAAGTGTATAAAGGATTGGTGCCAAAAATAGAATTAATTTTATCCTGTTGCATTTCATCCACATTGATTTTTATGAGTTAATTAGTATATTTTTTCTATTAAAAAAGCAAAGATGTGCTTCCTGTCTTTTGGGACTTCTTATAAATAAACCTGGTGGTCCTGGATGTATGCATTCTGTTTGCAGCATTAAGCCTAAAGCAGATATTGCCCTAGTAAGCCATTTTGTGTTTTTCTATACTTGATAAACTTACTTAAAATACTATCCCTAGGATATTAACATTTCTTTTTCTTTAACATGCCCTTTATATATTAATACCCATAATAGGTTCTAGCAGATCCTATTAAGAGCAAACTTGTAAAGGAAAAAAATAGTCATGAATAAATGCCATATCAGCATTTATAAATTACTTGTGTTGAAATACATTGTATATTGAGTTTCCAGATTTTGACATAAAGATGACAGAGTTTGCTATGTATAGTTTCAGCTGCTTTTGTCACATCAAGGCACAAAGGAAAGAATGCAAAACACCTGTCTGATTCCTTGAAGGTCTCTAAGGCAGGGAAAACAAGAAAGTTAGGGGGAAAAAAGTACCAAAGTATGAAAGTATTCTAAGTCATTTTTTGTGCATGAAAATTAATGCTCTAAGTAATTTACTGAGGCCCTAGTCCTCACCAGACTACCAGAGAGGAAAGTTCATTGAATTCAGTGGAGCCTACACTATAGAAAACTAAATTTTATGTTATTAATAGTTTGGGCTATCCAGGTTTGTGGAAAGAGTGAGAAAGAGAAATGGGAGCAAATCAACCCATCAGTGTGGCCATTTGGAAAATATTCAGGGTGTGTACAAATTTATAAGAGAATTTGTATCTTCTCAGTACTTATTGCTCTGTAAAGTATAATGCTGAAATCGACTTCTAATTCCTTATTTGTGTGAAACTTCATAATGACATTTGATCTGTCTATATGAAACTACAGTAACATTTATTACATTCTGCATTTAAAACTAAGTATTGAATACTGACATCATCACTGAAATAGGGATACTCTGTCCTTTAAAATCTTTTCAAATAATTTTTTGCGTGTGAAAATTAATGCACAAAGTTAGGGTTCAGTTCCTGTGACTTCATAGACATGTGTATGAAACTTTCTTTTTTTTATTGCAATGTGGAAATGTCATATTGCCTTCTTCCAAGAGGTTTTTCTTTTAAACTACCTAATCAAGTTTATTGCTCTGGTATTTCCTGCTGTTCTTCCATCCGCATACTGACTAGGCTCAACTCTGCTTAGCTTTTTAAGATCAGCTAAGGTCAGTTACAGTGATAATTAAAGATCAGAGGTGAACACTTGACCTAGAAATTGCTCATGTTCCCTCCCAAAGGAGGGAAATTTCTTTTGTAAGGTTATTGCTACCAAACATGATTAAAGCTATTTAGGGAAGTCATTTGGCTTTATATATCTTGGTAAAGGCCTGAACCAGGTGGTTTCTTAAAAGCCCCATTGATGTAATTCATTCTGCGTCTTCTATTGTATTGACTGATTTTACTGTAGATCAATTTCAGATATTTGAAGAAATATATACAATATATAACATTTTAAAAGGTTTTCTGTAAAACCAACTCCCAACTCCTACTGTGCTGTCTCATCATGGTGGGAGTACTCCTGGGATGGATGAGTGAAGAACATTGTGAGTATATGCCAAGATTATATATATTCCCAGCAGGGTCACCCAAGATATGAAGGTCATCCCAGCTGCCCAACTAAAGCAAAGAGGCATCTATATTGGGCAGCAACATAGTTGATCATAGTTTATGGATGATCATTTTAGTGACAAGACAAAGGCATCAATGCATAGTGTGTGAGAGAAGGCAATGGTAAACCACTCCTGTATTTTTACCAAGAAAACCACATGGGTAGAAAATATAAAATGATTGACGATATAGTGCCAGATGATGGGCCCCTCAGGTGGGATGGTACTCAATATGCTACTGAAAAAGAGCTGAAGATCTTTCAGAGTACTAATAGTGTTTATGACATGACATTAAAGCCTTTGAGACATCTAGTTGCTGATGTTGCTATGAAGGAAAAGAAAATCTGAAGCTGCAAAGGTAGAATTACAGTAGGAACATGGAATGTAAGAAGCATGAATACAAGAAAGCTCAACACAGTGAAAGATGAAATGAAACAACTACAAATTGAAATCTTAGGCATCATCAAATTGAGATGGACTGGAATCGGACACTTTCAGTCAGAAGGTCACACCATTTATTACTCAGGACATAAAAAACAAAGAAGAAATTGTGTTGCTTTTATAGTTAGGAAGGGTATAGCAAGAACTGTACTTGGCTAACAATGCAATCAATGACCGAATAATGTCAATTAGAGTTTGTGGACAACCCTTTAATATGACAGTCATTCAAGTTTACGCTCCAACCACCAATGCAGAAGAAGAGAAGGTTGATGAGTTTTATGATCAAGTCTAATTTGAAATTAACAGAATGCAAGCAAGATGTGCTACTTGTGATTGGAGACTGGAATGCCAAAGTTGGAAACATTAAATAGGAAAATATAGTTGGATTGTATGGCTTAGGAAATTGAAACAAAGCAGATCAACTTATCAGTTTCTGCCACTCCAATGATTTCTTCATAGCTTGTCTTTGTAGCTTGTCTTCATTGTCTTTAAACAACCAAAATGATGCCTCTATACATTGACATCACCAGATGGAATGCATAGAAATCAAATTGACTATATTATTACTAAAAGGAGGTACTCAATTATAGCATCAAAGACATGGCCAGGTGCTGAGTGTGGAACAGATCATGAATTGCTCATGTAAAAGTTTCAAGTTTCTAAAGAAGAAGAAAGCCAGCCAGTGTCCATGATATGAACTTAAGCATATACCCACCATTTTCAAGGAGAACATCAGGAATCACTCTGAAGTCTGAACCTCACTGATAGAGAATCAGAGGAACTGTGGAATGAACTTAAGGATGAAAGTGAAAAGAGACTGCCAAAAATGAAGAAACAGAAAAAAGCAAACTTGATGTCAGAATAAACCATGGAAATTGCCGAGAAGAGAAGCCAAACCCAAGAAAGACAGAAATTTTGGAAAGGAATTTAACAAAGAATTGCAGAGAGCTGTTAGAAGACAAGAAGCAGTATTACAACAACATCTATAAAGACATTGAAGATGGAAACACATATGGAAAAACAAAGTCTTTCAGAAGATCTCTGAACTAGGAGGAGGTTCCAACCTCAAATTGGTATGCTAAAGGACACCAATGGATAGATAGTAACCAATTCCAAGGAGATCAAAGATGGAAGGAGTTTCAGAGGGAGCTTGGGGTTATTCCTGAGGCTCTGATACATGATTTGGCTGAGGCCTTAGTTGCCTCCTGGAATGAGCATGCAATGAAGGCCTTGGATTGAATTGCGCCTGAGTGGTCTCTTGGCTCTCATAGGGCCCCTTGGTTTATGGCCAGGCTCAGGGAAATGAAATGACACAAGAGACACCTAGAGTGCTGCTGGAGGAAGACAAGGGATGAAGCCGACTGAGCCCAGGTACTAGCCTTTATTAGGACTTACCTTGTGGTAGTAAGAGTGGTGAAGCATGCTTCCTTATCTGCTCTTATTGTGTCTGCAGATGGCCGGCCAGCAGCCCTATTTCAGGTGACCAGGGCCCTCCTGGGTGGGTGGGGCAGATGAGCCCTTGCAGGATCACTGTGAGGGCTATTCTAGGCATCTGATGGATAAAGTCACTTGACTTCATTCAGAGT